AACAGACTGAAACAGAAGATGGCAGCACTGCATGTACAAGGATGCCAGCTGCCGTTAAACCCTGAAGAAGAAGAAGCAGTGTCCGGTATCGTAGCTGAGTCCAAATTCAGAAACCGCATCCTACTGTGCCCCCATTTGTAGGCCGATTACGTTACAGCGACACGACAAAGACTGTCCGAATTCGAAGACTCCGACAAATGCGCCCTTCATTTCCCCAGATTTGAAGGATGGGTCAGGTGTAATCTTTGTGGCCCAACCTATCCCAGAATTCATAGCGCGGCCCTGCTCAGCTTCCAACAATGGCAGCAGCTAGTTAGTGTTAATATTACTCTTATTATTCTTTCTGGGTCACAAAATAAATGTTTAACATATTTTCAGGCGAGACTGTAGCTGTGTAAACCTCAAATTTCGGCTCAGTTTATCAAGACACCACATATTTTTAAAAGTGCTCCAACATTTTCGGAGACGTCTGTTACCCACTAGCTCGATAGCTAGCCGGGGTTCAAGGCTCACTAGAGCCCGTGAAAACACCGGACTCCCGGCAAATCGTTTTCAAATCCACCACCGTCTTTCGCTACTCAGGTTAAACACGATATACAAGTCACTTAGATAACTTAAAAATGTTATTGTTTGGCTTTTTTCAGCGTTTTATTTGTTCCTGAATAAATCGGTTTGGCTGCAATTAAAGTTACAGTTTTTACACAGCTGAATAAACGTTAAGCAGACAGCTGATTATCAGAAGTGTGAGATGCTCGAGAATATACTCCGGTGTCCCGTTATATTTTAGATAGCAAGGAGCAGACGGCTGAGTTTATTAAACTCCACCGAAACAATCTGCAAACTTCATTAAAATTCAATAAACTATCATCTTGTCTTTATTTTTAGTTAGCACATACCTTAAACACTTCAAGCTGTAAGCTAAAGATAGTTATATAAGAGCAGATGCATGCTGGTGCAATAAGCTGTAAGTTTTACGTCCAATGGATGCATGATCTGATTAGTCAACTAATCACAAAAATAATTGGTGAGTAGTCGACTATCAAAATAATCGTTTTTGGCAGCCCTAGTGTAGCCTGATGATTCTGGGTATGCAACCTCTACAGACATGCTTGTGTGCAGTGCACCAAGAGATCAACAGCACATGTAGCACTGGCTGACAGTGAGAAACTAGAAACTAATTTGCTGAAGAGTTCACTTTAACAGGAAAGGGAGTAACAGAGGAGTTCACCACAAAGAGGAAACAGTGGCAAAAAATAATCAACAATTAAAAAAAGCAGCATGAGAAACACAGACAGTGGATACGTAGACAATTTTCAATACCGTGTTTCATTTCACTGCAAAGAAGTTATTTTTATATTATGACATATCTTTTCTGTATCAGGGTCGAAGTTGAAGGAGAAACTGAACAAATGCAAACAAGTCTAGCTCACAGACTGTTCCGCATAATTGTTATACTGCCCTCTGGTGACAGCACACAGCTATAACATGTACCAACACACAGCTATACTGGGCTGGAAATCACCAGACACCCTTTGATACCACATTTTTACAATATATTACTGTCATTTTCAACATTATGTGATATGCTAAATATTGCAATAACATATACTACAATTTATGTCCTAAAAGTTGAACTTTATCAGTATCTGTTTTATCCAATGAGATAAAGTAATCTCACTGCAAAATGAGATTGTCAGGCATCCCCCATCACTGTTATTAAAACCTGCCGTAAATGTTACTATAAAATAAGAGTTATTTTGACTGATATCAGTCTGAGGTTCAATAGGTCAAGTTGGCAATTACATGCAATCTGTTTCTGATTGCATGAGCAACAAACACATGTTGTCCATAGGGAAATTGCACAGTGACCTCTGGTGGATAAACTATGCAACGTCATTGACGAGTGTTTCTCTCATCTCCTCCTGAATTTTTAATTTTTTATATTTAGCAGCTTTTAAAAAGCAGATATTAATAGAGAGGCAAATAACTAATATCAACTGATATAAACTGATATAAAAACTATGGTTAAAATTAATGTCATAGTAAAAAACACACAAACCTTCTGTTGGGTTTGCTGGCTGATCCTTGTTGATAGCTGTCTGGATGTTACTGAAAGATGCAGGAGGTGCACACTGTTGCAGGACGCCGATAGCATTACAAAACTGATCAGCAAGCTGGACACACAAAACAAAACCAGTAATAGGTTACGCTGTCATTTAAACAAGACAATAGCTGCTGATGATGATAACATAAACTTCAGGCAAAAGAAATTTAAAGACGTTTCTTTTACCAGTTTTATCAAGGTATGGTTTTTTTATTATAAAATATAGGTATTTAGTTTACAAGTGTCAACCATAAGGAGGCCAGAATCCTATTTTACCCACTGTGAAAATGTGAAGGCGTGCTTAAGTTTTGGACTTTTAAATGTATTTTTATAAGTTTTACAGCTTCTCCTGAAGATAAAACATCCCCCAAATGAGACAAAGCTCATTTTTTAAACCATCTATTATAGAAATCTATGCTTTTTACAATGGGGTCACATTACAAAATATATTATTACAGGATAGTCTACACAACAAGCCAAAAGAACGTTTTCTGTTATTTTGCACATTTATTTCCTACAATTTAAGCCCAACGAGTCACACTGACAAACTTTTCTTTGTTGTGCAGAAAAACCAAGAAGGACTGTTAAAACCAGCATCTTTTTCTTATATTAAAATGTCTCAGGGATTAAATGTATAGTTAAAGTTCTGACTGAGAGTGACAGAAAGGGGAGTTTCACTGATCGGCCCAAAGTGTGTTGTATGTAGGCCACCTAGTAAAAGGATGTTTGACATCTCTGGTCTAGAACCACCCTTAAATTATTATTGTTATTATTATTATTATTATTATTATTATTATTATTATTATTATTATTATTATTATGTTTGTTTGTTTGTTTTGGAAAATGGCAAATAGTTGCAGCGGGAGTTGAAAATAGTTGAAACGGGAGAAAATACGTGGAAATACAGTATGTAAGGCAAAAAAAGACTTTTGCAATATTCTAGCAAGCTGGTACAACATGAAGGATCAAAATCTGACCTACTTTTCTCCATTCGTAATTCCTATAAGTTCAACATCTGTTCAAGACCACTGAAAAAAATAAGAAAATTTGGTCCCTTGCAAGCCAAATATAAAGAAATTACCTTTGCACAGTATTGTAGTAACAATGTTTTCTTTCCAAATATATTTATTTTGTATCATTTTGTTCAAAACGACGTTTTAACACTGTAACACTTCATTGTTTAAAATAACTTAGCTGGTTTGGTCGTTTAGTAACACAGGCCTTTAGCTATAATTGCTATAATGGTTAGCTACCCCGTGTTGTTGACACGTTACTAAACTACTCGGGCCACTGGTTTGCGTTAGCTACCAACTCTAAACGACATAACGATGTATTTTATATTTTTAACACCTCCTTCTACCAAAGAATGTTTAAAATATTCAACATTTGCCTTACCGAATTGACTGCGTCTTGAAGTTGTGTTAGCCGGTCCGCCATATTGTCTGTTTCTGACGTAACTGTCGCGAGAACATAAAACCTCTCGCGGTATATTCGGTATTTTGGGAACCTTGGTTGGCATAGGTTGGGTTACTTACTTTTATCATCTCACAACTGGGTTCACAGCAAACTTGAAACGCGTTAAAATCGATATTTTCATATCAGCAGAGATTATCTTCTGATAACTGATCTTTATTAGAGCCTGTTTGTGGCTGCTTTATGAGAACTAATGTTAGCCTTTAGCTAATATTAGCTGCCAAACATCAACAGGAAGTAGCAGCGGGGTTAACGCAATTCCAATGTCTTGTACTGTGGCTTCCCCAGGTATGATCATTTTTGTTTCTTTAATTCATTATCTAAAATTGAATGGCAACACTGATTTGTTATACGCACCCGTTTATAATGCGAGCATGTAAGTGGATTTGCATGAAAGCTCAACTCTGATTAGTAAGTTGGCTAATAAGTGAGCCGAGCTTGTGTGTGTATGTATGTGTTGTTAAAATATGTTTTACGTTGTCAGCTAACTGAATTTGGAAAACTGAGATACTAATCCCCTTCACGTTTTATATAGCTGAGACGAATATGCTTCCAAAGTAATCATGTAAAGTGAATCTGACACCTAAAACACGTAAGGCTTGCTCCTAATAAGCGAATTAGCTGACACGGCAGATGTAATGACGAGTAGGTCGAGGAGGAGAAAGCCTAGACACAATGTCAATGAATGATTTTTAGCTGGTATTCTGAAGTCAGAGCTGACGCTTCAGTTGAGGTTACTTCTTGGTTTACAGATATTTTTAAAATTGTATAATACCAATATCGCGGTGTTGTTGTTTGAACAAATAAAACAGAACTAGATCAAGCATTTCTGATTTAAGTCGTGTTTAAAAATATTAAAGTGATCATCATATAGAAAAAGACTGATGTAACTTATTGCTGCTTAACAGCAGCAATAGCTTGCAAAAAGCTACTGCATCATGGTATATACATAGGTTTTTATAGGACTGTTCAGAGTTCCCAGAAAACTTTCACTTGACTGCAGCTGCTGTATCTACAGATTATAGACCAAAGATTTTCCCCATTGTCTAACTAAGATACAAAGTCAGCCTACCTTTAAATAAAGAAGCTATTTTAATAAGATATAATTCAATAGTGTCAGTCATCACTATAATGAATAGCTTGCTAATGGATAATTGCTTTAACCAAATGTAATACTTAAGGGAAGAAAAGAAGGATTGACAAGGTGGATGACTACTATATTTGAAAGCAACCGTGTCCTAGCTCCTCTTAAGGATCACTTGTATTTCCTCAGGCATGAACTGTACCTTAGAGAAGGTCCTGGCAGATGCCAAATCATTAGTGGAAAGGCTTCGCAACCATGACAACGCTGCTGAGATGTTAATCGAACAGACGACACATCTCAACAAGCGAGTAGAGGCCATGAAACAGGTAGGGTGTCACATGAACTTGGGGAAATGTGAGGCCTAAAGCATTTGATGTAGAATCTGTGAAGTTTCATTTGAAAAGCTGGAATAACACTTTTTAAAAAGTATTTCTAATTGTTATGATCTATCATTTTATATTTCAGACTGAAGGTTTTTGTGCTTGTTCTTTTTATTGATAGTACCAGGAAGAGATAGACGCCCTGAACGAGGTTGCACGGCATCGGCCTCGTTCCAGTCTAGTCCTGGGAATCCAGCAGGAAAACCGTCAAATTAGGGAGCTCCAGCAGGAAAACAAAGGTAGGCAGTTTCCTTTAATGTCAACTCTTCTGTTGAGAGATCGGGTGGTCAGTGCATTTTTAGTTTCGCTTTGATTTGCGGAATATAAAGCTGGAATTTGATCCTTCCTGCAAATCAAACTTGTGTTCATACTTCATGTAGAGCTGCGTACATCATTGGAAGAACACCAGTCTGCCTTAGAGCTCATCATGACCAAATACAGGGAGCAGGTGTTCAGACTTCTCATGGCCAGTAAGAGAGACGACCCCGCCATCGTTACCCAGCTGAAGGAGCAGCACACTACGGTCAGTGTCTGGTGCAAGTACTTTTAATGTATTATTGTGCAATTTTTTTACTTTTCTTGTGCATTAAAAAAAAATCATTGCAGGAAATGCAAGCACACATAGACAAGATCAACGAAATGGCCTCCGTGATGAGGAAAGCCATAGAGGTGGATGAGGAGCGAATATGTGAAGATGAGGAGAGGATTAAACAGCTAGAGGTAAAAGCCGAGCAGCATTACTTCAGTTGTTCCAAAGCTTTGAGACCAGGGGAGGGTACAAAAAATCCACAGAAGTTACAAATCCACCCAAAAAAATGTCTGTTCATGTGACACAGAGGATCACGAGTGTCAAAGAAATTGACACTTGACACAAATGCCAATAACAGTCATCAGTGGAAACTTAAATGATCAAGCCTCTGAGGGGTGGAATCAAAACTGGATCACAAGCCATAGTTAAAGAATGTTCATGTGCTCTGTTATTTATTCATTTATTTATTTAAACAGTATATTTAGTGTGAGTTTGGAGTTTAAAAACGAACTAAAGCTTCATGTTGAGTTGAGATGTCAAAGCAGATCTTAACAGGGCATTGAAATTAAAAATTAGCCTTTTTATTTACATTTCCTCCTAGCTTTGTTTTTTTTTTCCCTTTGACCTACTTTGTTATTTAGACATCCTGCCTCTCTATTTCCAATTGGTTAAACACATATATATTTATAGGCTTTTTGGCCTTTACCTCTACTACTTGAAATTATCCATAAATCCCATAAAAGTTAGATTTATGTTACTATTTAGCTAACTAGCGTTGCTATGTGGTTTTAGCTTTTGACAGTAAGAACCATTTGTAGTGTTTCCACATGTTAACCACCAGATGTCAACAGTGAGCTTTTGAACTCTTAAAACCTCATAAACCCATATTTTATTTACAGTAGTGAAAAAGTAGCATTTTAAGAAAAACAGTAGCTCATTTTGAACTTAATACTAGCAATTTAAAAAAAAAAAAAAGTTGGGATGGGGTCAACAAAAAGCTGGAAAAATGGAGGAACATTTTAGGTTAACTGGCATAAAGATTAATACTCAACATGATTGGGTATAAAAAGGCCTTTTAAAGAGGCAGCGTTTCTCAATCTGCAAAAAAAAATGCATCTGCAACTTGTGGAACAATTTCAGAATAACATTTGTCAACATATAATTCTGAAGACTTTGAATATCTAATTATCTGCAGCTTAATATCTTCAAAAGATTCTGAGAATCTGGAGAGATCTCTGTGCTCAATAAAATTTGGGTTTATGGGATTTGCAAATCATTTTTGTTTGCATTAAACGCAGCATTTCTCCGTCTCCGTGTATTTCAGTTGGAGAACAATGGACTCCGAGAGCTGCTGGGAATCAGTCGGGAAGCTTTTCTGGTTCTGAAGAGAGACGACCAATCAGACAGCACGTCGCTGTCGCCACTGCTCACCAGTGCCGACGTGAGCTTACGAAAAAGTTAGAGCCCAGAACAGCCCACCAAACCCCCAGCCCCCTACTGCTGCCACTGTAGGGTACAGAGTCTACAGCCTGTTACCACGTGACCGCTTCAGATGATGAGTCTCCTGGTGCATTTAGAACATCGCTGCTCCAGACCTGCATTCCTGTCTGATGATTCGGGCAACAAGCAGCGAGCCACCTCCCCTCCCTTTATTCTTTTTCTTGTTTCTTGGTACTGCTGTAATGTTTTGTTCATTTTGGCAGCATGCACGAGCCCGCAGTGCCTGCAACATTTTAAGGTGTAAATGAGTAAATGAAGGGCTTGAGTTCAAATAAATCTATAAGCAAGAAAATTTGTCTGTAGAGTTTGTGTCACCTTCCAAATGTCACACGTTTCTTGTTCTGTTTTGGTTGCTCCTGCAGATACACAACTTCTCACTTTCACTACTCGTGTCAGTAAAAGTGGTTTCTATTCCCACCAATATTGTCACTGGTGGGAATAGAAACCATATCCACTGAGGATCTGCTCCAAAGGGTGAGGTGCATCTGCTGCTAGCTGTGGAATAGAAAATTTCAACACTGTCAAACCACAGTGTAGTTATACTCCACTGAAAGGCTTGTAAACAAGTGCTTCATTGTTTCACTGTTGCACATTTATATCATTAGATTTATTAGTAATTTTATCCACTACTTGGAAAAGAAAAAAAATAAATAAATAAATATATATATATATATATTATTGGAAATCAGTCAGTCTGTGCATTTTAGAGGATGGAAGAAAATATTTGTGACATTATTGCATACAAAGTGAGATGACTGTAATGAGAGCTTTTCATAAATTGGCTATTATTTCAATCCAACTTGTGTTGGGGAATAGAATGTAGACAAGCTGAAAAGTAGAAGTACACTGCATCATATTTGGACTTGGGTGCAGTCTTTAAGTTATCTTTCCCCATATATTGTTTTACTGCAGACGACAAGGCACACCAGAGGGATGTTAGAAAGCATCCACCCATTCCATGGCTTATATTTGAAAACTTAATTTAAATGTAAGTGCTGGTAAAGAGCAGCTCATGTGCTGCTTTGTGCGCACATTAAATAGTGTCTGCCAATATAAATTAGTCTCCTGTTGTGATTTGTTATGGTCTGATGGACAGATCTAATCGAAGTGAGACACGGCTAATGAGGTAAAGTCATCATTAATTATTTAAAACGAATTAAAATTGTAAATAAATAATTGTTTAAATGTTTGAAATGAAATTAATTTAATACATAATTTATATATTTTGTTAATTAAATTCTTAACGTTTTATTTAATTATTGACACCTTTAATTTGATGTATCGAAGTCACTCGAGATCGTGTTGATGGTTGGTGACGCCAGAAGGAGGTGGGGATATCGCGGGACGGAGGACGAGAATCTCGCGGTGGCTTCGTTAGGCAGTCAGAGCTGCAGAGGGAGAAGGTCGGCTCAGGCAGGCTTTCACGTCAGTCAAGCATGTCGCTTTCGAGTTTGCAGGGACTCTTACTACCCAAACACGGGACGCTGCCACATTACCAATGATTTTACGGAGGAGCATACAGAAAAGGGTTTGTTAAGAATTCAAAATAGAGAGGCGGAAAATGTCTCGGTGGATTTGGTTCCCGCTGCTGCTGCTACTGCTTCTTCAGTTGGTGTATGAAGTTGAAGCGCAGGTAGAAAGTGAGTAGCCTTACCAGATGATTTTTTTTTCTTTCTAATCTGATGTAAAGTGACTTTCGATTTTAGAAACCTTTAAATGTAAATGGTATATAATCAAAAAGCTATCATATTCAAACTAGTGGTGTTGTCTGGGCTGCAGGACACTAGAGTTGCCCTCTTGTATGGTATTAGCTAGCTAATTAACGCGTTATTCTATGTAACGGACTAAAACTGTCTATTTATCCCACACAATTTAATTCGGTTATGTTTAAAGTTTGAAATAAGGGGATGCTCGTACACAGGATGTTAGTCGTGCCTAACCCTCTTGTGAGTTAAGTATGCCGAGATTTACAGGTCCAGGTAGCTTACTTACATATTTTATCTGCAAACAGGAAATGTAAACAGTAATCTGTCTCAGATGTGGTGGACGGCACGGGCAAGAGGCAGCTAGGTCTTACCATAAGAAGAACCTTAGACGGGCCACAAGAAGGAAATCAGAATATAAATTACTTCTGCATAAATTGCAGAAGTAAGACTCTCATCCAGGGGGTGCTACTTTGAAAGTAGTGCATCTAAATCAATTTATCCAAATGATATATATATATATATATAATATGATTACATATAAAGGGCTCAATAATTGTCAAAAAAAGCAAAGATGGCAGTCAACACGATGCAAAGTGATTGAACTTGTGTCAGACCAGACTCTGCCCTGAGGCTGAAGTTCTGTCTGCATGTCAGGAGTGCGTAGGCACCTTTGCAGTGTGTGTAGCCTGCTTTGAAATTAACCAGTCATGTTGTCCTTACCTCAGAGCGCTAAATTAAAATCACTGACAAGGTCAGCAGGATCTGTCAGGAATGATAAATCTAAAAGCACTGAGCTGTGTGTGTTTTGAAAACTTCAAAACATTCTTTGATTTTCACACAGCAACTTAGTGAATCTTGCAAAAAGTTACCTCACACATTGTGAGCCTCTCATCCTCAAAACACACAGTCTTCGATGTTTGAAGTCTTCCCACACAGTTCCTGCTGAGGAACTATGCAGTAATAGTTAAGGAAGTGTGGAAGATTGCTGTGTGTGAGTGCAACAAAACCAGAAGTGTGGCCTAACTGAAAACAAGTGCAGTTACCAACACAGTGTTTTCTTTGGTTTGTTTAATTATTACCAAGATTCAGTTTTATTTATATGGCGCCAAATCACAACAACAGTTGCCACAAGGCGCTTTATATTGTGAGGTAAAGACCCTACAATAATATGAAAATGGCATAACCATGTTCACATTTCACTGTCTGTTCTGTGTATCTGCATCGCCTTTCAAAGAGGGGAAAAAACAGTTGTTTCCCAGTGTAATCTGTTCTTTTTAAAGGGCCGTGTGATGCCACATTTGTAGCTGTCAGTCTTGGTGCCTGAATTATGCTTCATTGTCTTAATATTTCAAATACAACTGTTAAGTGTAATCAACACTGGCCTATGATTAAAAAAAATTACTCATTCTGATTGCTTTCAGTTATGGTTAGAATTAGAGGTCTTCACTGGAGACAGCTTAGACCGCAGTGGGTTATATATAATCAGGCGAATGAGTCAGAAATGGCCAGTAAGGAAACTTCAGCCTGTAGTTTGATGTTAAGTGAGGATACTGATAATATATAGGCTGCCTGATTGGTTCCAGTTATTGTGGAACTTTGTTTTATGGAATAACGCAGATCTATTAGAAATAACATAAACAAAAAGAAAACCAGTAGTCATGTAAGCAGATGATCAGAAGAAGAAGACATGTTTTATGAGTCCAGGCCTATCAAGCGGTTTATAAATACATTTTTTTGTTTTGTTTTCTGAACTGAATCTCTGTATGCAGATCTTTACACAACAGGAAACATAATAAATGAGCAGCTGACATTTTACAGTTCGGGTCCAGCCATCACTCTGACAAAGCCTCCACTTTTTGAGATGTTGAAGGATGTTTATGGTGCCAATTAACCAACGTATCAAATTTAGATGGTACACTCGATTATTTCCGTATAGTAGCCTCAGCACAGAGAGCACGCTTTCATTCAGGCTTTTGTGTGATTAATCTGTTTTAGGATCTGGTTTAAGGTGGCGTGTTTGGCTTATCACCTACTGTCAAAACTGCTGCTGTGTCAGGTGATTAGCATTTTACTGTATGTTGACTAGTACCAGCTACAACCTGCCAGCCAGTCTTCTTTTCCACAGTAACTTAGACCGACTGAAGCAGGAGAACAAATACTGTGTACAAGTACTGTGATGAGTTTATCATAAACTTTCTTGGACTAGGCTTATAAAAATCAGCGCTCACATGACTTTAAATTTAATTTTCATCAAATTTTATCTGAACCTCTTTAAGTACAGTTAAAGATCCCTCTTTAGTAATCACATCCCTTTCAACTTGTGCCTCTCCACCACTGTGTCAGAAGACTTTATTTTAATTTTTGGAGTGAGTGAGATAAATTTGGCGAGCAGGCCGGGTGGTGAGTGATGTGACTAAAAGAGAACCAAAAATCCTGACTTACAGAATACATAAATGG